ATATGACTGTCTTAATAGATTCAGATAAAGTATTTAATAAAATTTAACACTCATGATTTTAAAAATAAGTCTTGATAATTTGGATTAGAAAGGAATTCTCTTCAGCTCATAGTTTCTGTGTAAAACCAGTGAACCAACCAAACAAAAAGACCAAGCATGTACCACAAAGAGGACACTCATTTCCTTTTAAAGTCAGAAGCAAAGGACGACTGACTGCCCACTATTACTGCTTATGTTCAGAATTGTGTTGGAGATCCAAACCACTGGAGCAAGACAAGATACTCAGACGAAGAAAGGAGGAAGCACTCACTGTGTTCACATTACATCACGTGCAAATCCAGAGAGCAAGCCCTAGAAACGATAGGGTTTAGGTAGTAGCAAGATACAACAATTATCAGAAGTCAGTTGCATTTCTTTACACCAGTTAACTAGAAAACCATTTAACAGCAGTATCAGAACACCAGTTACCTAGGAAATTGACAATATATGTTGAAGATCTCTTAAAGGAAGAATTCTAAAACATTAAATAAGAACTCAGTAAAGAGACACACTAGTGGATAGGAAGATAATATCATAAAGATGTCATTTGTTTCTAAGTAGACCTCTAAATTCAATGCAATTCCAATCAAAATTCCACCAGGTTTTTCATGGAACTCGTTTAGGCGATTCTAAAATAAAAGGTAAAAGAGAGCAAAGGGCTAGGACATTTCAGGAAAGATCAGGGAGGTGGGGACTTGCCCTGCCAGATGTTAGGACTCACTGTGAAGCCGTATGTTAATCAGAATAGCATGTTACAAGCTAAGGAACAGACGGATTTCCCAATGGAATAGTCTGGATTGCCCAGATAAAGACCAATGCATGGTCTGAACTTTGGCATAAGAAAGGTGGCATGTTACATCAGGGAAAGGAGACTATTGAATAATTAGGGCTGGAACAATTGGTTATCTGTATGGAAAAAGTTGAAAATTGATTCCAATCTCATGCCTAGAAAAAAATTAAGGATTTAGAAAACCTTTAAAACTCTCAAAGGAAAAAAAAATGACTACTTGTGATCTTAAGATAGAGAAGGACTTCTTAAGACACAAAATATTAACTATAAAAGCATTATTAATGATTTTTTCTATTAAAAATAGTTATCTTTATTTTCCAAAATATACCTTAGCATATCTTTCTTCGAAGAATGTGAAAGAACAAGTTAGAAAGTGGGAGAAGTTACAATGCAAATCAAGACCACAGTGAGATACCATTTTATACCCATTCGATCAAGAAAAATTTTAAAGTCTGGCAATAGCTAGTGTTAGAGGGTTTCCACATGATCTCTTATTCATGCTTATGTTGGTGGAAAGTGGTTCAATCCTTCAGAAAGTTTGATACTACCGTTTAAAGTTGAACTTTTACCTATCCTGTAACCCAGAAATTTCACTCCTAAGTGTCTACCCAAGAAAAACCTGCACATAGATTAAGTGGGGACACGTACAAGAGTTTTCATGGAGCTGTTTACAAAAGCTAAAACCACCCAAGTCCCCACTGAAGAACTAGATGAATAAAATGTGACATATTTGTACAATGGAATATTATACAGTAACTAAAACTAATGATCTGTAGTGACACAGCAAAATGGAAGCCTAGTCAGCAAAAAGAAAAAGTCTTAATGAGTATAGTAAGTACAGGAGGCAAAAGTGGTGAAGGAGGGGCCACCACTGCCAGTCCCACAGGCATCGAAAGACGATAAAGGACCACCACGAACAGTTGTGTGCCACAAATGCGGCGATTTAGATGAAATGGAAGCGGGTCCTTGACAGGCACAATCTAGCGAAGCTCATATAAGGAGAAATAGATAATTTAATGTTTGTTTCTATTAAAGAAACTGAATCAGTTACCTTCCAAAAAGAAAACAGCCCCAGGTGGGTTCACTGGTGAATTTACCAAATACTGACGAAATTATACCAATTCTCTATAATCTCTTCCAGAAAATAGAAGCAGAGGGACCCCCTAACTCATTCCGTGAGGCCAGCATTATCTTAATACCAAAATCAGACACAGACTTTACCAGAAAACTACAGGCCAATGTCTCTCAGGAACATAAATGCAAAAGTCTTCAATAAAATATTAGCAAATTGACGCTAACAGTGTATAAAAACACCGCAACCAAGTAGGATTTATTCCAGGTACGAGAGCTCATTCAGCATTTGAGTATCAATGCAGTCACATCAGCAGTCTAAAGAAGAAAAATCACTATGATCGTATCAGTGGATGTAGAAAAAGCAATTGACAAATTAACATCAATTCATGATAAAAACTCAGCAAATTGGGAATATAAAGAAAGTTTCTCAACTAGGTAGCATCTACAAAAACGTAGCTAACATGTAATGGTAGGAAAAAGACACTTTCCAGACTGAGAACAAGGCAAAGATGTCCCCTCTCACCAGTCCTAGTCCACGTTGTACGGGAATTCCTAGCTAATGCAATCAGAAAAGCTATGCAGATTGGGAAGAAAGAAACTTGTCTTCATTTGCAGATAATGTATTGTCTATACAGAAAATTTCAAAGAACATAAAAACTCCTAAAATTATTATAATAAGCAATTATAGTAAGATTGCAGGATACAAGGTTAATACAAAAAAACAAAAAGGTTAATATACAAAAGCCAATTGCTTTGCTATATACCAGCAATGAAAATTTTAAATTTGAAATTAGGAATACCACTTACATTAGCACTAATAAAAGGTAATGTTTAGATATAAAATCTAATAGATTGTGACAAGATCCATGTGAGGAAGATGACAAAACTAATGAAAGAAATCAAAAATCATCTAAATAGCTATTCCATGTTCATTGATAGGAAGATTCAATACTGTCAGTTCTTCCCAAGTTGGTTTATAAATTAATGCAATTTTAGTCAGAGTCCTAGGAAGTTATTTTGTGGATAGCAACAAAGTAATTCTAAGTTTATACAGAGAGGCAAAGGCCCAGAATAGCCAACACAATATCAAAGAACAAAGTCAAAGACTGACATCACCCAACTTCAAGCAAGACTTTACTATAAAGCTCCCACAATGAAGACTGGTATCGGCACAAGAATCGATCAGTGGAACAAAACAGCCCAGAAATAAGCCAACACAAATAGAGTCAACTAACCTTTGACAAAGAACCTTTGGCAGTTCATAGAGGAAAATAGTCTTTTTCCTAGAGATGCTCTTTTTCAATCAATGGTGGTCAACAGTACATTCACGTGCAAAAAAAGTAAATCTAGACATAGACCTTGAACCTTTCACAAAAATTAACTCAAAATGGATCTTTGTAGACCTAAGCACAAAAACATAAAACTTCTAGAACATAAGGGAAATACAAGGTAACCTTGGGGACGGTGATAATTTTTTAGATAAAACTGAAAGCATGATTTGTGACAGAAAAAAATTGGTAAGTTGGACTTCATTAAAGTTAGCTACTCTGCAAAAAGCTGCCATTAAAAAGATGAAAAGACCAACTACAGACTGAGAGAAAATATCAAAATATATCTGATAAAGGGCTGTTAAAGCATACAAAGAAAGAACTCTCAAAACTCTAAAACAATCCAAATTAAAAGTGGGCAAAATATCTGAACAGACACCCCATCAAAGAAGATATACCAATAACAAACAAATGTAAATATGCTCAACATCCTATGTCGTTAGAGAACTGCAAATTAAAACGACAACGATACACCTCTACAATAGCTATTGAAAAGGGCTAAAGTACAAAACACTGACAACACCCAATGTTGTTGAGGCTGGGGAGCAACAGGAACTCTGATTCATTGCTAGAAGGAATACAACATCGTACAGCCACTGTGGAAGACAGTTGGGCAGTTTCTTACAAAGCTAAACGTTGTCTTACCCTATGACTTAGGGTACTCCTAGGTATTTGCCAAAGTGAGTTAAAAACTATGACTACATAGCTGGATGCTGTGGCGCACACCTACAGGTGATGGGTGTACACCTCCTAGCTATTTGAGAGGCTGAGGTGGAAGGATTGCTTGAGGCCAGGAGTTGGAGTCCAGCCTGGGCAACATAGCAAGACCCCACTAAAATTGTTTTGTTTAAAAATTTAATAAAGTATACTTGGTTAAAAAAATGTCCACACAAAAAACGTGCACAGAGGTGTTTTTAGCATCTTTATTTTTAATTGTCAAAAAATTGGAAGAAACCAAGATATCCTTCCATAGGGGAATGTGTAAACTATGGCACATCTATATAATGAAACAACATTCAGTGATAATAGAAATGAACTTGCAAGGCAAGAAAAGACATAGAAGAAACTTAA